TTCAGGGTGGGAACAAAGATAACTTTAGATTAAATTTTAGGTAAATGATTAACACTCATCGACCATGCATGGTCACTCTCTTGGAAACAGGAATGGACAATCATATGCCTCTTCTAAACCCATTTGGTTTTTCTGATATGATCGAAATTCCGGCTCAAGGTCAATCGGGTAGAATGGTCATCCTGTGGGATCATACCCTTGTCAGTGTTCACAGCTTCGTGCGTAGAAACCATGAAATCAGTGCCACCATTGAGGTAATCTCCACTCACAAGTCTTGGTTATTTACCTCTATATATGCTAGTACTAACATTAACTGTAGGAATCAAATGTGGAACAATCTTACTAATATGCATGCTACTTTTAATGGGCCATGGCTAGTAGGGGGATTTTAATGATATTTTAGACGCAAATGAAAAATTAGGAGGCAACAACATTAACAGAAAACATGCAAAATATCTCTGGGGTTGCATTAACAAATGCGGTCTTATTGACCTAGGCTTTAAGGGGTTCAAATTCACGTGGACAAAACGTAGAAAGAAAAAAACTCTAATCATGAAAAAATTAGATAAATTTTTTGCAAATAGTGATTGGATTAGTTATTTCCCTAATGCAACTGTGTCTCATCTACCAAAAACTCACTCTAACCACAATCCCCTATTACTTGAAATAATCCGTAAATCTAACATAGCACTACAAAAACCATTTAGGCTAGAAACCTTTTGGTGCAGGCATCCTGACTTTAACAATCTAGTAAAGAATCTTGGAAAGGTCCTAACTACCAACAAGCTTCAAATTCCTTTCTAGAAAATGTAAGAGTCTGGAAAAACAAGATTTTTGGGGATATTTTTAGAAAGAAAAAAAGAATCATGGCTAGACTTAAAGGAATTCAAGAATACAAGCATTACCCCCATAGTGTATTCTTACAAAATTTAGAAATTTCTTGCAAATTGAATACAATAATTTTCTAAAAATAGAAGACGACTATTGAAAACTTAGAGCCAGAATCTCCTGGATCCAAGACGGGGATGCAAACACTAAGTTTTTCCACATCATGGCCTCTAACAATAAAAGAAAAAATAAGATCACTGACTTGAAAACTGATGTGGGAGATTGGATCAATGAACCAATGGAAATTTTAAACCACACATATCAACACTTGCTCAATGCATTCACAACTTCCCATCAAAACACTAACTGGCTAAATATTTGTCAAAACCCCACTAGCTTCAGCAAAGTAAATCTCACACCCCTAGATAAACCTCTATTGCCTTACGAAATTATTAATGATGTATTCTCCTTCAAACCCTTTAAGGCTCCAAGGCCAGATGGAATTCATCCCTTCTTCTACCAAAAATTCTGGAAAATAGTTGGCCCATCAGTTATAAACTGTTGTATCCAAGTTTTTCGCACTAACACTCTCCCAGTAGGTATTAATAATACCTATATTTACCTTATTCAAAAAATTCACAATGCTAACAATCTGAAAAATTTTGGACCAGTTGGTCTCTGTAATACGATCTATAAAGTCATCACCAAGATTATTGCTAACAGAATAAAATCTTTCCTCAGTGACCTTATCAGTCCATTTCAATCTAGTTTCATTAAGGCCAGTAGAACTAGTAACAATGCAATCATTGTTCAGGAAACTATGAACCAATTCAAAAAGGCTAAAGGAAAAAAGGCTAGCATGATCCTAAAGCTCGATTTAGAAAAAGCTTTTAACCGATTAGAATGGTCATTTATCTATCGTATGCTCAAATTCTTCAACTTTCCCCCATCAATCTCCAAATTAATCATGCATTGTATTTGTACTAGTAATATTGCAATCCTAGTCAATGGATCAACTACTGAATATTTTAGCCCAAGTAGAGGTATCAGACAGGGCTGCCCCTTATCGCCATATATCTTCATACTTTACATGGAAATGTTCTCACGTCTAATCTCCCATCAAGTAGATATCCACCGTTGGGATCCCATTCACCTTAGCCCACGCGATCCTTGTATTTTTCATCTATTTTTTTGCGGATGACCTTACTCTGATGGCTATGGTGAATGAGAAATCATGCAACTCCACGAAAAAATAGCCTCTCCGTCTTCTGTGCATTATCAGGGCAAAATATCAATCTTCAAAAATCAAAAATTATTTTTTCAAAAAACTGCCCTTCAAAAGTAGCTAAAGAAGTTGCTAATAAATTCAACATCAACATCAGCAATACTTTTGGGAAATACCTAGGTTTTTCAATTCTTCAAAATCATCCTAACCCTAGGGATTATCAATTTATTATTGATAACATGCAAAGAAAGTTGTCTGCCTGAAAAGCCAATTTTCTTAACATAGCTGGTCGAACAACCCTACCAACATCCACTCTTAACTCAATCCCAAGTCATGCCATGCAATACACTCATCTGCCTACAAAAACCCTCAAACAAATAGATCGTATCCAACGCAATTTCATCTAGGGTTCCACTAATGAAGCTAAGAAAGTCCCCTATGTGAGTTGGATTACTACTACCAAGACTAAAGAAGAAGGAGGCCTTGGCCTTAAAAATGCTAACACCAAGAATATGATTTCCCTAAGCAACCTTGCTTGGAGAATCCTCACTAATCCCACAGCCTTATGGTCCAAACTCCTCATCTTCAAATATGCCAGCAAAAAATCTACAATCTTCACCTCTTTTATTTGGAAAAGTATTCTAAAAGGATAGTCAATCTGCTCTAAAGCTATCACTTGGCAGCCCACTGAAAATTCGAATCAAAATTTTTGGTTTTCAAATTGAATACCAAACCTTCAACCATTAAGACAATGCATGGAGGGTCCTCTTAATAAAGAAGAATCAAGCAAAAAGGTAAAAGAAATACTTTCAAATGGCCAATGGGACCTATCAAAAATCTCCTTTGATATTCCCACGGATATTAAGGACAAAATATATCAAATTCCTAAGCCTTTAAAAAATGGTAATAATGATACACCAATTTGGAACCTGAACACTAATGGTTGTTTCACCAGCAAATTCTGTCTCACAATTATCAATACTACCACAAAAGCTCAATACGACTTCATGTGGATATGGAAACTGAAATGCCCCAACAAAATTAAATATTTTCTTTGGCAATGTCTCCACAACAGACTACCTTGCCGAAAATACCTTCACCATATTGGTATCAATATTGACAGCAAATGACTTAGGTGCCACAAAGAAGAAGAATCCATAGTTCATATCTTTACTCAATGTCTCCTAGCCGTTCTCTATGGGAAAAGCTAGGTATCATAAACCTACCCTCAACTGTGACACATCACTGGCTCATCCACATCAAAAGTCTGAGTCCCAAAATTAAGTCACCTACATGGAATGGTCTGATCTCATCCCCTTTTTAATTTGGGGAATCTGGATTAGCAGAAATTATAATAACACCAACAATACCAATCTACACCCGTCCTTAAAAATAATTTTTAACCATGCACTAGAATTTCACTTTATGACATCCAGAAACACTCCCTTACAGACCATCAAAATCATTCAGATTAAATGGCATGCCCCACAAAGAGGATGGACAAAACATAATATAGATGGTGCATCCGATAATGCAAAAGGAGGTATAGGAGGAGTGTTTAGGGACAGTACGGGGAAATGGATTTTAGGTTTCCAATAAATACTGTAATGCTCTATTTTCGTTACACATTGAATTGTAGGCTCTCCAAGAGGGGCTACAGTTGGCTTCAAGGTTTGATCTATACCCATTGGAAGTGGAAACAGACTCAACGAAAGTGATCAACGCAATTAATAATGGCCATACAGTACTAGCTAATTTGATCTACTCTTGCAGGTCATTAATGCATCAGGAGAGGGGCCTTCTACTACGATAAAATTTCAGGCAAGGGAAATCGTAGCTGATGCACTAGCCAACGAAGCCAAAAACAAAAACAAAAAAACAATCAATATAATCCTGGAAGAACAAAAGTGTTTACTCAACCGCCGATTTTTGTGCAACAACTTCTAGCCAACGACATGAGCGGGAAATGCAACTACCTATCTCTCTATGTAATATGCTTACGTCTCTAGGAAATCAAAATATTGTGAGTGACAATAGTTGTTTGTCAGAGGGGATACACAGCCCCAATATCACTTTGGCATGTAATATGCAAAACTCTATCTGGTACGTAATATATAAATCTTTTTGCTACTCAAAAAAAAAGATTTTGGACTTCTTCAGTATTCGTCATGGACTCATATGATGCATGGAGTCATCAAAGTATGGTATTAAATTCAAACAAGTTAAGCTTAAAGGAATTTATCAGATGGAATTTATTTTGATGAAATTTATTTAATTACTCAATGTTCAAATCGAGATTTAATAATAACAAAAATAAACGGGGCCTTTACAATTCCGAGGAAAAAAACTTAAATAGTTCCTCAAGTATAGAGGTAAACTTATTTTTGTCCTTTCTATATCACAGCCAAAGTCCTGCAATAGGCCGCTAAGCCCTTAACTAGACGTCATCCAGCGGAGCTAAAATCTTATTCGCATCTAATATTTACACTAACTCTATAAATACATGATATGTGTCTTCATATATATTCTCAAGTCTTATCACTAAATCATAATTAAATAATACACATTCTCACCTTAGATTATAACTTAACCATAATAAATTACTATAATTTGGTGTAAACACCAAATATGGATAAATTCTTACACGGTATAATGTAGTAATGGGAAGTTGCACCACACCTTAAATGATCATCGGAGGATTATCATGTTCTTGCTAATGAATATCTTCCAAGATAGATTACAGTTTTTACATATAAAAAAAACTTTGTAAGTTGAAAAACAACTTAGTAAAACTCAGGATATTCTAGGCAGGGTCAAATGATATTCAGCTATTATTTTGAGAGCGGTTATACAATATCATTTTCCCATAGTTTTTGTATTGGTTTGGACTTATGTCCAAAGACCCCAAACATTTAGCCTATATTCAGCTTCCTTGACTTCCAAGGGATTCTATCACAGTTTCTTTTCTTATTTAGCTCAGTTACAAGTAACGAGTATGATTACCACAAAACTATAGTTATCTCGATCCCCACAAAAGGCTTACAAGGTCTGTTTTTTCTCGCTCACCAACAAAACAAAAGAATAAAAGTGGTTTTTCAGCTTGCTCACCACAAATATCACACTACAAGCTTTTCCTTTTTCAGTCTCTACTCTTCAATGCACCAAATAGCTTTTTCAAGAGCATAGATAATGCAAACCTAAGAATACTTTCCAGTACATGAGTGAAAATCAGAGTGTGACAAAGCCTGTGAATGTTGTCCTTCACTTGCTATTGCAAATTCCTCAGCATGCTTGTCTGGCCACTTTCTTCTTCAAAACCTGACAAAGTAATTAGTGTCTTGTCTGACTGAATCTTCCTGTTCAGTTCTCTCTTCTACTTGAACTACTTCTTTGGGGGTGTATCATTCAACTCGTGTATGCTCTTCATGACTTGACTCCTTCAAGCGACATTATCCTGTCAAACACATCATGTAATCTCAATTAATCAATTTTTTTCACTTCAATTTTGTCACCATATAAATATTTCTCAAAACTAACAATCTCACCCTTTTTTATAATAGCAAACCTGAAGGTTAAAATAAGTCATCGTATTTAATAATATAAAATAATACTCCCTCTACTTATATGCTTCCTCCGTTTCATGCAGAATTGAACTCCCCCTCTATTAGTTTTGACATCAACCAAAACACCCAAAGTAGACAAGAGATAATTACAATAATAAACATTATACTACTGATGATAATTAATCAATTCAAAATCAAAAGATAATTAACCATCCACAGTGACTTAAACACCCTATTCGGGATCAGAATTCCCACTAGAGCTTGTCATTGGATTAGAAGGCGCAGGTGATGCCTTCTTGCTTGTGTAGTCGGCCTTGCCTGCTTACAGAATGAAATAAGCAAGCAAAAGAATTAAATATATTTTACGGTTACCCAAAGCAAAAACAAAGTTATCCATCCATAATCAGTACAAAACTTCACAGAAAATTCAGACAGTCCTTATCAAAAAATTCAGTCAGTCACTATTAGCAAATGCTCCCTGAAACTTTCAAAAGCAGTGCTCCAAGTTGGTCAAACTGATTGTGCACTTGATTCTCAATACAGTCTATTTTCCTGACTACTCTAGCCCGTCATAGTTCAACGTTGTAATCATGTCATTAAAATCCTTCCTTTCGCACACATATCTCATCTTTTCGAGGCTTTTGACCTTTTTCAAGACCTCATCAATGCCGTGCCTTGCTTCTTAGGCACAAGCGACCACCTAGAAGTAATATCTTGCTGTTGATCTAGCAATTTGGGCTGGAGGCATTGGTTCTAATTCGATTTCTCTCACACACTTTTCGTTCTCCATGGAAAAATCCATACCCTCAAAAGTCTTCTCATTGTAAGTGCTTTTGATGACATTCTCTTTCGGACCTTCAAGATAGACACCTTCATGTTCAAGCCATCAAGTGATTAACATTCTAAACAGCAAACTACTCCCAACATATAAATCATTAGAAATCTCAATCATGTAGTAGTTAGTTATCCAAGTGGACAACTTTATGTTTCCACAACAGACCAAACTGAACAGAATGGATTGCATCCCTCTTAGCAAGTAGACTATATGAGCCAATTCTGGGGGGGGGGGGGGGGGTGGTTACCCACTATCATTACATTTTCAAACCTTAATGCAAGTGCACTCATTCGGTTCCAAATTTTTCTTGAGAAATCTCACTGAGTTGAGCTCTGACATATTCAAATGAGAATTTGTAATTTCTAGCATAATATTTTTGAAATACATGAAATCCCGACAAACTTAATCTTAAAAGACTTCATCAAAATTTACCTCGTCAATGACCAATCATCTGCAACTAGGGTGTCAAAACCACCATGCTCTATTACATTTAAATTTGCATAAACATTCTAACAATATCCTCATATACTCCGTTTGGATACTTCTCAAACATTTTTCCCCGACCTTAATACTCAAATATCTCACAAATATTACACCCTATATTCTCAAAAATATACTTCTCAATAGGGGTGTTCATAAAAATCCGAAAAACCGAACCAAACCGAAAACCAAACCAAACCGATCAAAAAAACCGATACCTTTTGGTTTGGTTTGGTTTTGAATTTTAAAAACCGATCAAATTTGGTTTGGTTATGGTTTTAATCCGAAAAAAACCAAAAAAACCGAACCAAACTGACTATAGGAGTAGCTATTTCAAATTTATTATTACACCTATATATATGTATATTTTTATGCAAAGTTTCAAAAAATTTATAGTAAATGCTAATAGTTTGCACGTTTAGTATAGTTCTTTACCTTTACATTCTAATTTGATTGGTATTTTTCTTTTGTTAAGTAAAAGAATTCATTTCGTGTTAAAAATAATATATTTTTAATTGAGTCCTTAAATTATTCATCACTATTTAATTCAATTATCATCAATATATCTTGGTAAATAATAGATTTCTCAAAGGGCAATTGATTTGATAGTGTTACGTTGAAATTGTGGTCGCCGGAATATGTGTTTGGTAGTATATGTCTTATATTTAAGAAAAAGCCGACAAATAACCGAAAAAAACAAAAAACCGACAAAACCCGACATAAACCGAATGGAGAAAAACTGACTTAATTGATTTGGTTTGGTTCTAATATTTGAAAAACCGACTTACTTGGTTTGGTTTCTTTTTAGGGAAAAACCGATCCAAACCGAACCATGAACACCCCTACTTCTCAACTATTCTTTCAGAGGTAATGGGCTTTGATTTCAATCACATACCTCTGTTTACCGGACCCTTTTTTTTATGAAGTACCTCGGTTTGGCGGACTTGTCCCGGAATATAAGTTATCTGCACAACTAAAATCAAATATTCCACCTGCCTTGATTTGCTTGGCAGACCTTGGCTTTGTTGCAACTGGTCGCTTTCCTTTCTTCTTCTCATAGGTCTCATTTTTGCTGAAAATAGATTCATGCAATGACTCCTGCTCGATTTGAGTAGTTTGATGAATCTGTTTCAACCTCAACAGTTTCTGCAGTTTTCTTGGCCATGGGATTCAAAACTTTCTTAACTCTTAGAACTTTTTCTGATGGGTTTAGATTGAGTGCTCTTCTGTTTTCTCATGAAATTTTTACAGAATTCGAAATGCGAGAGAGGAATGAACTGTCTCTTGCCTTAAAAGAGATGGATAATATCTTCTCGTAACAGTCAAACTTTCCCTTGAATCCGGATAAAACCTTCCGGAAGAGATGTCAATGAAAAAACACCACTTTCCAATGAATGCAACAATGTCGGTTTTAAAATTTGGGCATTACTACTTTCTTCCAAATTTTTGAAGAAAAAAAACTCACATAATACATTAATTGGTAAACAGTGCATGAGAACTTACAATACCAATTCAGTCTCTTTATGTGCAATATCTCCCTTCAGATTAAGCCTTCATCAAGATATCAGCAATATGATCACGAATAAAATGATATCTGATCTCAATGTGCTTCTTCTTGCATGCTGAACATAATTTTCAACTAGAAAAATAGCACTACTTATTATTACAATAAACAAGAATATTCTTAAAAATTAAGTTTTAGTCCATAGGAGCTGTATATAATAACTTCCAAAGGATATATTATGCTTACATAGTGGAAAGTGCAACTGATTCTTGCTTCTTGATATGCCAAGAAACAAGTGACTTTCCAACTAATTGACATAGACTACTTCATCACTTGCAAAGTCTGCATTTGAATAACCAAATAGATCAAAATCAATTGTATTTGGATACCATAGACCATCTGTCTGGTTCCAATCAGGCAATCAAGTATTGAATGATCCTTTTAATGGTGGTCACACGTGATTCTTTAAGACTCGACCAGATTATAGCGCACTTAATATACTAAACATGATATATGGCCAACTGGAAGTGAAGTAAATAATGAGCCAATCATTCCAATGTATTGCTTTTCTTCACACTCTTACTGTTCTCATCTTTATCCAGAAATGTCGACATGCTCATTGAAACTATGCTCATTAGAGTTCCAGAAGACTTGGCCGTTTCCATTTCAAACTTTGAGATGAGTTCCTTGGTATGCTTGGATTGACTTAACAAAAAGTTCTTGGTTTGTTTTATTTGTAACTCAAGAAAGAATGTGAATCCTCCATCAAACTCATTCCAAACTCACTTTTTTTTTATTCAACAAATTTCCCCCACATCAATTGGTTAGTGCTTCCAAAATAATATCATCCGTATAAATTTGAACAATTAAAGTGTCATACATATACCTTTTTATAGACAAAGTTGTATCAACTTTTCCTCAGGAAATTTGATTTTTCACGGGAAAATGACTTCCTCATGGAAAACATTTTCCCATTAAATAACTTCCATCAACATTGTCTAAACATTTGAATGCCATGTTTCAAGAGACTAAAACAAGGATGAAGGTGACGAAGAAAAACAAGGATGAAAGCTAGTATAATGGAAAAAAAACAATACTGATATATACTTACTCCACCATTGCCCTTAAGTAGAAAAGAGGCTCTTCAAGAAATTTATAAATTAACCTTTCAGGAGTAGTTTTGGAATGAAAGGAGCTATTTTTAAAGATGTTACAGGAAAGAAAGAGTGAGAACTTTTAACCAGAGAGAGTAGTTCGAAGGTTTAACCAGAGAGATTCTGTTTAGTGTTATAGTTATTTCTATCTAGTACAGAGAAGGTTTATTCAGTAATATATATAACCATAAACAGCCAGCACAAAGAAGAAAAGAAAGAGATTTCACTCTCGAATATTCAAGTTATAGCTGAAAACAGCAACCATTGTGGCAGTATACCGAACATCTAGACTTGAGCATGAAAAAAAATACTTCACTGATAAATATCATCTGCACAAGAATAATAAGCAAGCACGCATCTCATCTGGACGACACTACTAGTACTGATTAGCAGGTAAGTAAAAAAACTGTTCTCTCACTCCCCGACTCCCCACCCCCCCCAACCCCCAAAAAAAACTACTCACGACTACCTCAAAAAGGAAGAATGAAATGGCAGAGAATATGTCTATTAGCCTATATCAGCCTTCATAGCAAGAAGACTAAAACAACCAAACTAGTTACTTAGCTCAACAACAACATACCCAATATAGTCCCACAAGTGGGGTCTAGGGAGGGTAGTGTGTGCGCAGACCTTAGCCCTACCTTCGGGAGGTAGAGGGGCTATTTCCGATAGACCCTCGGCTCAAGAAACACATAATCACAGCAATATTGAACCCACAATATGGAATTTAATATTAACTGAGATCAGGTCATACAAGATTTGTGGGGCAGCTTCCCCAAGCCCTGACGAAGAACCTAGGACCCAATGCAAGATGATATCAAGGTTCACAGAATCACTTTCACCAGAGAAATTCAGAAAGAGCAGGCAGAAATAATAATTGGAAAAGAAATAACCAAAAAAAAAAAAGAACAGCAAACAAGGAAATTAATGCTTTTGACTTTCTAAACTCTAAATACATAAATAAACAAACCTCATTTGTCGAGTTCTGCAGTAGCTGCCTACGGTCAAAGGTCCATTGATTGAAGAGTCCACCTTTACATGATTAAACCAATGCATCCAATCGAGGACCAAAGAACTCATCGGACCATAGTGAGGCACAGGAATAACAGTCCGCATTCAGCTGGTTGCAAAGTCAGAACTTGATTGTTCATAAATCATATTCCGCTTTAGCCTCTAGGATTAGTTGGGTGGAGGAACCAAAAGAAGCCATCTTTTCTGACAAAAGCTTAAGGGCCTCCTGTTTATTAGCCAATTCCATAAGCACCTTGATCCTCCTAAAAGAAACATTACTTGGCTTTTGCCCTTTATCCACCATTTGCAAGAAACACCGTTCTGCCTCCGCCAATTTTCCCAGATCACAAAGCAAATCAAACAAAACATCAGAAACCAAAATATATGAGCCGAATCCTCTCTCCATCATGTCATCCCACAACTCAAGTGCCATCTCCACCTTATCGTGTCTCCTAATCAACCTGATCAAAAACATACATGATTGTGTACTCGGTAAGCACCAAGTCTCCTTCATCCTCTGATACAAAGACCACGAACTTCTCAAATCATTTGCCCAAAAAAATGACCTTAAGAACACATTATAAGTAGTGGCATTGGGGCTCAAGCCATTCATTATCATCTCATCCATCAAACTGTACGCGTCCCCAATCCTCTTCGCAATGCAGAAGTTCCTAATTGCAGCATTATAAGCTGCCGCATCCGGATAACAACCATACTCCCTCATATCCTTCAAAACGCCCCTCGCCTTATCAGGTTGTCCAACCAACCCCAACCCTCCAATTAAACTCGTATAAGTTATCACATCGGGAGTAATATCCTTCTCTCTCATCTCCTTCACCACCTTAAACGCCTTTTCCATCTCTCTCCCTTTGCAATACACATCCACCAAACAATTATACGAAACAACATCCGGTTCAACACCCAAATCCCTCATCTCATCAAAAAATCCCTCTGCATCCTCGGACGACTTCCAACCAGACAAAATTATATTAAAAGTTTGCAAATTTGGCCTAAACTTACATTTCAAGCTATGGTACACATTCCTTGCATCACTCATACTCTTCTCCTGGCACAAAGCCCTCAACAATGCATTAAAACAATCAACACCAAACTCTTTTAAGAGTTTTTTAAAGCCCCAAAAAGACTCAACAGTTTGCCTAACTGAACAAACCTTAGCAACTCTACCCAAAACAACTTGAACTGTTCTTGGCGTTATTAAAGATTGATCTTTTCTCTTCATTTCAACTAAAACCTCCCAAATCTTGTCAAATTTACGACTCCTACCAAGTACATACAACATGGTATCTAAAGAAAAACCAGTATGGTAAAACCCTTTACGTTTAGCTGCAAATTTAAAGAACTCATAAGCTTGTAATGGGTTCGAGTGAGAAAAACGTACCCTTTTGAGAACTCTATCAATTAAGTCGTTCGATAAGCTGATTTGTGATGATTTGAGTGATTGTTTTAGTCCCTCTGGTGTTTGTGTTATTGTTATGATGCGGTAAAGTGTTTCAACTTCTTTGTCAGTGGAAAGGGGGGATTGAGAATGGAGGAGGTAGAGGGAAGAAGGAAGAAAATGGTTGTTCGTTTGAGGGGCAATAGAGAGATGCTTGTAGGAGAAAATTCGAGCCATTGCTGAAGTTGTGGAGCGTTTAAAGTCTGCTGATTTTTGAGCTAATAGAGTTTGGAATAACTGTGAGAACAAGGGAAACGAACAGCAAATAATTGAGAGGGAAATGGTGGAAATAAAGAAAGACTGAATACCTAAATTCACTTGTACATATATTAAAGCTGCTCCTCGAACTTTTTTATTTTTCGGTTTGGCACATTTATTTAACGGAATGAGTGTTTGTGTCCATAATAAAGGCGTTTGATGTCTGTGATTTCACACAATTTTACTATAGTTTCAGATTAGATACCGTTACTTTCTCTAGAACCATAATACTATTATTTGATTAGGCCATCAATTTTTTATTTCTCGTGAGATTTCTTTAATGTTCAATTCTAACATATTTTCGGATGTACACATACATTAGCATAGGAATTAAAATCTATCTAATTTATCTTAGGTCCATGTTAGTATGAATTAGTGAAATGAAGAACGATTAAGAAGTGGAATAAGCAAGCAAAGAACCAACCAAGCAAATCGAATCTCCTTAATCCTGACACAACAAGTAGTTTTCGTGACTGAAAAAGATGCATTTGACCGTTAATTATAAGTGGCGGAAATAGAATTGATATTTTTTGGTGCATGTCAATTATGTTCACTATTATATATTTTTTGTATGATATAATCTTTTATATTCAATAGCTAATGACGATAATATAAATTTAATATTTTAACTCTCAAAGGTCTTATATGGAAAATACAAGGGAAAAAAAAAGATTTTTAGTTAGGGAAGGAAGGTCAATAGTTTTAAATAAGACCCATCATCTTTATAACATGCCGACCAAATGAAAATTACTAGAGCAATTGATCAACAAGAACTCGGTTTCGTAAAAAAAAAAAAAAAAAAAAAAAAAAGAATAATCAATGTAAAAGCGGGATTTATCCTCTACTTTATCTTAAATTGTACTTCCTTTGACCTCTGTCCCAGTTTATTTGAAACTCTTTCTTTTTTTAGTCAGTCGCAAATAGAATGACACATCTCTTTATTTATTAATAATTAAATTTTAAATTTTCCCTTTTACCGTTAATTAGATGATTTCTAGCCACACAAATTTCTATGATTTGTTTTACACCACAAGTTTTAAAAGTCTTCCTTTATTTCGTAAATTTTGTATCCAGTTAAAACCTTCACATAAATTAGGACGAAGGGAGTAGTATTTGTTAGTTACAAGTATGCATCTTGTTTGGGCCTACTAATGTGATGTGCTTTTAAGATCTTTATTTACGGAGATGCCTACACCTTCCCCGTGTCTAATTCCTGTATAGATGACCAACAAGGGTTGTGGCGGAGTTGTAAGTACTCATTCATCTTTAACCAAAGGTCTTGGGTTCGAACCCCTAGATATGGAGTCACCTTTGTTAGGGAGCGCTTTACCCCCAATCTACTAAATATACCTAGTTGTTGCATCAATAACATCAGTACCTTGTTTACTTATCCCTTTCTCTAAATTCTGGATCATTCTATAATTGAATCCATGGGGTTAAGCATAAACCAATACACAAAAATAAAATAAAAAGTTGTCTTTAACAGACAAAAAGTTCAAGATAGTCAACCAATATGGCTGAGAATTTACAACTCAAATGTAAATGCTTGCATTAGAATAGCATACAACTGTAAGAAGCTATTGAATTCTGTATGATCTTAGATATGTGAATGAGTTATCAACTCCTATTAACAGAATATAAATAACAGAATAAGTACTTCTTTGAGCAACCTTCAACAATCTGTGCAAGTGAAATTGTGTGGTGCTTCTACCCGTTCGTGCAAGGCAGAGTTCCTTAAAGAGTACTTTGATAAACTCCTAATATGGCCTTAAGCACTGAGCTTGATTTAGTTGTTTTAGTTCAGTTGCTCTTAATTTTGGTTGAATAAACATTGTTATGAAAAATGTATCCTCTTAGTGTATATGTGGATGATATTATCTTACTAGAGATGTTAGCAAATTGAAGGCTTACTTGCGCTGATGGTTTCAGACCACTGAGGGTTGTTGTGTAATGTTTTCTAGGAATCCAGGTTGCGCTGTTTGAACAAGATTTTACATATCACAAAGAGAGTGCGCTGTAGACTAGAAATCAATTACTCAGTCTAAATGAGTTGACACAATAAAAAGTACATTTGACAACAAAAAAGTACAATGAACAAAATAACTAGAGTTGGTATCCCTAACTGACCCTGAACCTTATACATTTGACCAACCTTGAAAAGAATGATATTTGTGAGAGAAAATTGAGCATCAAAATGTTTTTTATTCCCACAAGTTCACAAGACTAGTAGGTTCATTGTATTAGTTACAAGTTAACATCTTCCTCAGGTAACAAAAAGGATTCAAATTCCATCTCATGTTGAGGCAATAGCAATGACCATGCCGATGCCCAGGTGGCTGGTGGTAGCGTTTTATGATAATGCCTCAAAAGATTAATCATGCGATTTGCAGTTTCTTCTGTAGCAAGATCTTCTCCAGCACATATAATCTACAAAATAACCAATTTTCAATTACTTAAATGGCTACATTAGCCCGATGCGTGCACAAGCTTTCCGCATTCACGCTAGGTGGGGGAAGGGCCGCATTCCAAGGGGTGTGATGTAGACGGCCTATGCTAACGCAAGAATTAGTGGATGCTTCCACGGCTCGAACCTTTGACCTATAGGTCACACGGAGACAACTTTGTCGTTGCACCAAAGATCCACTTCTTAATGACTACATCAGCATGAACTTCATAATGATGTAAATGTCACACTACACTAAGACGGTCATATCAATAGATTATAATTTATAATCAACTAATGTGAAATGAGCCCCCCAAATAAACAGATGGGAGCTAATTGTCAACTGCCTACCATATAATGCAATTAAGAAATAAAAAAGGCACGTCTTTTCTTTAGATACATAAGATTTCTATTGCCTTTCTTTCCTCAATTTTTCCCAATTACACGAGGGGACAGGGAAGTGATAAGGGAGAGGGGGACAGAGAGAATCAAACCACACCTATTGTCCGAGACTCCCATGAAAACCACTACATTATGGTTTTCTATTGCCTTTCATACAAAAGTAAATCTTAATATATCAAAGACAAATGAACAACTCATTCTAACACCTGCTAGCTGCGATTTTGAACTAACCTCTGCAAAAACTGAAATAACTTTTGGAAGGTGTAGATAGTTGTGACCCAAAAGTTCTTCGTCTGATCTGTAAGTCAGAAGCTTTGGTAAAACAGTGAAGACTAAAAACACATTAATTCGTCAGATTGCATTTAAGAGTCTGCAAACTCAAGTTAAAATAAATTGGCACTGTCACGAAGAGATAGGCACTAAATAAATGTAGTTTATAACGGGAAATCAATTGTTAAAACATAATCTTGACGTAATTTTGCTAGAACAAATAAAACAAAACTGTTCCAGTTGCATTATCGTAGTAAACTTGTAAAACTAGCTGGATACTAAAATTTTACCTCGAGCAATTTGTTTGGCTAATGATTGCTTAGTTTTCCCAAGATGTGATATTAGGAAACTTATATGGAATATATGCATGCTGGCATTAAGAACACATAATTTATCAATGGAAAACATATCTAATCATGTCCCCATATTGTAATCTTTCTTTTCTAGTTTTATTGAATATAGTATATGAAACAAATTATAATGAGGATCTGAAATAATAAAGTGAAGAGCAGATGAAGATGAAAACTAGAGCAAAATAATCCAATACCTTTCAACCATCAAACATAGCTCGTCATGAACATATTTGGCTTCATGCAAGTCACGCTTTATAGGCAGGCAGTTCAACCAAATCGGAATAATCTATCAAAAGAAATCGGAATAAGAATTGCGAAGAAACTATAACAAGATCATGATGTACATCCGAGGAACGTCACTTCATCTACAATGATAAAAAGCTATATGTTTTTAGTATAGTTCGCGTGAGGAGCACATGCACAATGAAACAGACCGTTGTTAGAATGTATTAACAAAAGGCAAATATGATAGCACCAACCACCATATGTCAGGATTTTTCAGCTTTTTCACTAAAGTATCTCATGGTAAAATAAACTACATGCTCTATTTGTTCCAATTTAGGCAAGTCTAAAAATGTTTGACACTAATTTACAAATAAATATTATTCCATACAAATACACTTTGATATTTCAAGAATATCATAGTTTCACAATACGATCAAACTTTGATATTTCACAACTTTGACACTTCCACCAATTTCAAGAATATTTCAAATTATTAAAAATTTCACTATTCATAAGCCTAGGGTCTTTCGAAAAAAAACCTCTCTACCGTCATAAGGTAGGGATAAGGTCTGCGTTGTTTCAAATTGTGAGAATGCACGGGAGAAAATATTATTGATTAATTATTGACAATGATACAATGAGCCCTATATATATAATACATGTCCTACTCCTAATACATATGGGATTAGGGTTATTTACTACTATTTAACTATCAAACTAACACTCCCCCTCAAGCTGGTGCATATAAATCATATGTACCGAGCTTGTTACATATATAACTAATACGAGGACCAGTGAGGGACTTGGTGAAAATATCAGCAAGATGATCATTCGACTTCACAAATTTTGTAGCAATATCTCCCGAGAGTATCTTTTCTCTAACAAAGTGACAGTCAATCTCGATGTGTTTAGTTCTCTCATGGAACACTGGATTTGACGCAATATGAAGAGCAGCTTGATTATACACACAAGTCCCATCTGACTAATCTCACCAAATTTCAACTCCTTGAGCAACTGTTTGATCCAAATTAGCTCACATGTGGCCATAGCCATTGCTCGATATTCTGCTTCTGCACTAGACCGAGCAACCACATTCTGTTTCTTGCTCTTCCAAGACACCAAATTTTCTCCTACTAAGACACAATATCCAGACGTAGAACGTCTATCAGAAGGTGATCCTCCCCAATCAGCATCTGAGTATCCAACGATCTGCTCATGGCCTCGATCCTCAAACAATAAGCCTTTGCCTGGAGCTGATTTTATATACCGAAGAATGCGGACAACTGCATCCCAATGACTATCACAGGGAGAATCCATAAACTGACTCACAACACTCACAGGAAAGGAAATGTCAGGTCTAGTCACTGTGAGGTAATTTACCAACCAACCGCCTATATCTTGCAGGATCGCTAAGAGGCTCCCCCTGTCCTGGCAGAAGTTTAGAATTCGGATCCATCGGAGTGTCAACAGGTCTACAACCTGTCATTCCTGTCTCATCAAGAATATCTAAGGCATACTTCCGTTGTGAGATCACAATACCTGAGCTAGACTGAGCGACCTCAATACCCAGAAAATACTTTAATCTGCCCAGATCCTTAGTCTGAAAGTGCTGAAAGAAATGTTGCTTCAACTTACTAATACCATCCTGATCATTGCCGGTAATAACAATATCGCCAACATAAACGACCAGATAAATAAAGAGATTTGAAGCAGAATGTCGATAAAATACAGAGTGATCAGCTTCACTACGAGTCATGCCAAACTCCTGAATAACTGTACTGAACTTACCACACCAGGCTCGAGGAGACTACTTTAGACCATAGAGGGACCGGCGCAACCGACATACAAGGCCACTAGACTCCCCCGGAGCAACAAAACCAGGTGGTTGCTCCATATAAACCTCATCCTCAAGGTCACCGTGAAGAAAAGCATCTTGATGTCCAACTGATAGAGAGGCCAATGGCGAACAGCAGCCATGGATAGAAAAAGGCGAACTGATGCAATTTTAGCCACGGGAGAGAAAGTATCACTGTAATCGACTCCAAATATCTGAGTATATTCTCTGGCAACAAGACGAGCCTTAAGTCGATCAACATGGCCATCTGGACCAACTTTGACAGCATACACCCAACAACAACCAACAGTCGATTTACCCGAAGGAAGAGGAACAAGCTCCCAAGTACCACTCGTATGTAAAGCAGACATCTCGTCAATCATAGCATGTCGCCATCCGGGATGAGACAGTGCTTCACCTGTAGACTTAGGGATGGAAACAGAGGAAAAAGATGACACAAATGCACAATGGGATGATGAGAGACGATGGTAACTTAAACCGATATAATGAGGATTAGGATTAAGCGTGGACCGTATACCTTTTCGTAGTGCAATCAGTTGATTAAGAGGAGACAAGTCCGCAGTATTAGCAGGGTCAGGTGCAGGACGTGAATCAGCTGGGCCTGATGCTAGGAGCGGACGACGATGATAGGTCAGGAGTGGTGGAGCTGTAGAAGGTTAAACTGGACTAGGTGGTGGCACTGGAGCTATAGCTGGTGGAACTAGACTAGGTGGTGGCAATGTAGCTATAGTTGGTGGAACTGAACTAGGTGGTGGCACTGGACTCGGTGGTGACACTGGAGCTATAGGTGGTGGAGCTGCAACTGGAACTGTAGGCGGTGGAGCTATGGAGTAAGATGAATGGGAGATAGGGACTGAATCTCCAAAAGAAGGAACGGGTAGCACCTCAGAAGTATCTAAGTGATTAATTGGACCTGTGAAGTATGATTGGGTTTCAAAGAAGGTAACATCAGCAAACATAAGAAATCGCTGAAGGTCAGGAGAATAACATCGATATCCCTTTTGCGTTCTCGAGTAACCCAGAAATATGCACTTAAGAGCACGAGGAGCTAACTTATCTTTTACTGGAGTAATGTCATGAACAAAACACGTACTCCCAAAGACACGGGGTGGAAGGGAGAACAAAGGTAAGTGAGGAAACAGGATAGAGAATGGAACTTGATTTTAGATAGCTGAAGATGGCATACGATTAATAAGATAACAAGATGTAAGAACTGCATCCCCCCAAAAACGCAGCGGAACATGAGATTGTATGAGTAGGGTACGAGCAGTTTCAATAAGATGTCTATTCTTTCTTTCAGCTACCCCATTTTGTTGGGATGTGTACGGACAAGATGTTTGATGAATAATCCCATGGGAGTTCATGAACTGCTGAAATGGGGAAGACAAATACTCTAGGGCATTATCACTACGAAATGTGCGGATAGAAACCCCAAATTGATTTTAAATTTCAGCGTGGAAGGTCTGGAAAATAGAAAACAACTCAGATCGGTTTTTCATCAAAAATATCCAAGTGCACCTGGAATAATCATCAATGAAACTGACAAAATAGCGGAATCCTAAGGTAGAACTAACCCGACTAGGACCCCAAACAGCTGAATGGACTAAAGTAAAAGGTGACTCTGCTCGATTATCAAGACGCCACGGAAAATAGGAGCGGGTATGCTTACCGAGCTGACACGACTCACACTCTAGAGTGGACAAGTGAGATAAGCCAGGTACCATTTTCTGAAGTTTTGACAAACTGGGATGTCCTAACCGTTTATGTAATAAATCTGGTGAATCAGTAACGGGACAAGTTATTGGAGGAAGACAAGATGCGAGTCCATGTAATTTTGCAAGGATAAGGTAATAAAGTCCATCTGATTCGCGTCTGGTACCAATGATCCGCCCTGTACTGCGTTCCTGTATAAAAACAAGGTCATCAAGAAATAAAACATCAGATTTAAGTGATTTGGCTAAGCGAATAACGGCTATGAGATTAAAAGGACTACCAGGAACATAAAGAACTGAGTCTAAAGGTAAGGAAGGAAGTGGACTTGCTTGACCTATTGCAGTTGCCATGGCTTGAGACCCATTGGCCATTGTAACTGTTGGAAGAGATTGAGAATATGAAATACTAGTGAAAAGAGATTTGTTACCAGAAATATGATCAGATGCACCTGAATCAATGACCCAAGACTCAGAAGGTGAAGATTGGGAGACACAAGTCATGCTACTATTTGTTGGAACAACGGAGGCTAATCCTGAAGATGTCTGTTTACGTGCTTTGTACTGAAGGAACTCAATATAATCCGGTAAAGAAACCATCTGCATTGGATTTAATGCATTCGATCCAACGAATTGTGAGTCTAAGGCTTCTAATAAGAATGACATTATAGTGTTCACGCCGGAAAAGGTCAGAAAATTGTTTGGAAATCACTGTTTCACTGTTACTGCTCACCGAAAACACTGTAGCTCGTCGGAAAATAAAAAAGTCGTCGGAATCTGATGTAAACTTGATGGGTAGGCTCGGAAAAGCAAGACGATTACACTGTTCAAAAGAAACTTTCTCCAAAATCTGGCCGGAAACACTGTAGCTCGCCGGAAAATTCCAAAGTTGTCGGAATTTGTCAGGGATAGTACTGGTCGACTCGGAATTGTTGTGCGAGTGACCTTTCCTGAAGGAAGTTCGTCGGAAAATGGCTGGAAGGGGCCTCACGCGCCCGGCGCGTGCACAGATCTCGCCGGAAAATCTTGACTCTGCCCGGCACGTGAGGGCGCGTGGCAATGAGTTTTCCGATGGGTTTTTATGAGATTTGGTCGTGGGGCTACGGCGGACCTTGTGGTGGTGTTGGTTTGTTCACAACACTGATAAATAATGACTTTGACGCAAACAGTCACTTAGGTCACCGGAAAATTGCACGGTGACAGATTGATTTACTCCCGGATGTCGTTGGACTGACGCACAACGATAATTATCTCACCAATGCTCTGATACCATGTGAGAATGCACGGGAGAAAATATTATTGATTAATTATTGACAATGATACAATGAGCCCTATATATATAATACATGTCCTACTCCTAATACATATGGGATTAGGGTTATTTACTACTATTTAACTATCAAACTAACACAAATTATTGAAACTTCAAACTTTAAACTTTGATGTGATACGATATCTATCAAACTATATTTTTGGCTATTACGTTAGTATTTTCTT